TTGGATCCCAGGGTGTGCAAATTAAGAAGAACAGATCACTGAAGTCTAGGAGCCAAAAGCAAGCTTTATTCCAATCACCATGGGGCACATAAATACTTCCATAGGTCAGAGTTCGGGCTTCTGACATTCTGACAATGGAAGCAGGTTTTGAGTCTCTTCTTTTTATTTTTTTATTTATTATGTATACAATATTCTGTCTGCATGTATGTCTGCAAACCAGAAGAGGGCATCAGACCTCATTACAGATGGTTGTGAGCCACCATGTGGTTGTTGGGAATTGAACTCAGGACCGTGGAAGAGCAGGCACTACTCTTAACCACTGAGCCATCTCTCCAGCCCCTTGAGTCTCTTCTTAAAGTCAAATCAAGCTTCAGGTGTGGGTAAAAGAGCATTTACAACCTTGAGGTCAGGGTTAGAGTCATGTTACATGTTAAGTTTTACAACTTTTGATTATATGATGCTAATTTAGGATGTTTGCAGGAGCCTGAGGCTGACACAGCCACTTCTCACTGTCCCTGAAAGGATGCAAGGCAGAGAGCAGAATCTCAGAGAGGGGAAGTTGAAAGTTAAGGGAGTACAATGCAGGGAGTCCCATAGAGGCAATGGTTAGGAGCTAAGCGGCTCTCACTGCGCTGCTGGAACTGCTGAGTTGGGAGGCAACTGTTAAAACTTTACCTCTGCACACAGTAGCTGCCAGGATATCTGCTCTCAAGGCAGAAAGCGGTTGTTAAAGGTTAACAGTGGCTTTATTTTCCCCCCAAATGTGTTTAAGCTTACAGTTTTATGTTCTGGGCTCTTCGGTAGAAATCTAGGGAACTCGGTTGACCTTGGGAGGCAAAAGGCAAAATATCATTCTAGTCCTTCTCTTCACCGTGGCAAAGGACTCCAAATATGCTTACTGAATACCATACTTGGTCAGTTACACCAGCACTGGACAGTAAATCATGTTTTAAATCTTAGCAGTTGTAGATAAAGCTCAAGTAAAAAACTAAGCAGTTTTCAACATCTTATTAAAAGATCTGAGCCAGGTGGTGGTGGTGCTCGCCTTTAATCCCAGCACTCAAGAGGCAGAGGCAGGTGGATCTCTGTGAGTTCGAGGCCAGCCTGGTCTACAAGAGCTAGTCCCAGGAGAGGCTCCAAAGCTACAGAGAAACCCTGGCTTGAAAAACCAAAAATAAAAAATAAAAAAATAAAAGATCTGAATACAAATTACATACACAGCATAATTAAGATTAGGTGTGCACGCATGCGCATACACACACACACACAGGCTCACCAAGCTAAGGTACTGTGAATGGATTGACAAAAGACAGAAAATGGTCCTTCCCCATCCAGAGTGAGTATTTTTTTTTAATTAAGATTAAGAAAAGGACATCAGAACGGGAACACTTGATTTTCTTCAAAACGTCTTTTAAATCAAAACAACGCTCAGCATTTTGTTAGCTTGGCTAAATATCAAGCTAGGCACATCCTGTCTTTTCAAAGCTAATAAGTAACAAACATAGGCACACATTTTCAAGAACTACAATATTGTTCAAAACTTAACAAAGCAGAAGGAGGGAGAACATGGGCAAGGAAGTCAGGACCACGAGGGGTGCACCCACCCACTGAGATAGTGGGACTGATTTAATGGGAGCTCACCAAGGCCGGCTGGACTGGGACTGAATTAGCTTGTGATCAAACCGGACTCTCTGAACGTGGCTGACAAGAAGGGCTGACTGAGAAGCCAAGGACAATGGCACTGGGTTTTGATCCTACTTCATGTTCTGGCTTTGTGGGAGCCTAGCCAGTTTGGATGTTCACCTTCCTAGACCAGGATGTAGCGGGGAGGACCTTGGACTTCCCACAGGGCAGGGAACCCTGACTGCTCTTCGGACTGGAGAGGAGGGGAAGGGGAATGGGAGGAGGGGAGGAGGTGGAAATTTTTAATAAATAAAAAAAAGAAGCAAAAAGCAAAAAAAAAAAAAAAAAAAAACTTAACGAAGCATATTTACAGAAATCGGTGATCTGCTGTAACTGCCTGCATACAATTAGCTTGTGTTTCTTTAGCTGCCCATTAATTGTTATTGCCTCTGATCCTGTCAGCACTGAGGAGGAACGATTCCCAGGGTCTAGGGTGACTGCTGGTATTTCCCAGATAAGAAACCTGAGAAGCATCAGTTCCCAAGAATTTTAGAGAAAAATACTTGAGGAAAACGGGGTTTCCAGGAATGATCACATCTGACCCCTGCGTGACAGTAAAAACCACCAAGAGAATCGTCAACTTTGTAAGAGAGAAGAGAGCGTGCAGGCTGGGCGGTCCCAGCAGAATTCTGGGCTGTTCCCAGGTCTGCTGGTCCGTGTTGAGTGAGAAACTGTCCCCATGGGCTTTGCCTTGTGGAGCTGCGTTGGACAAGTACTCAAATGCTGATCTGAAACTAGGCCACAGGGCTCCCAACGCAGTGCAGCATCTCAGTTCCTTGTGGTAGAAAACAGCATTGCATAGCTAAAATAAAATTTAAAACAAATTTGACATACTCTTTGTTTGCATATATTGCTTCAAGACAAAGCTGAAATGAAATTTCATTTATATTTTAATAAATAAAACTTGCCTGAAGTTCAGAGAGTAAAACATTCGCACTGCTCAGCCTTACAGACCAGGCAGGAGTGACACACACCTTTAATCCCGGTAGACCACGACCACTGCAACTCTTATAAAGGAAGACGTCTCGCTGGGGTTGGCTTACAGTAACAGAGGCTCACTTCATTATTGGCATGGTGGCATGAGGCAGACGTGGTGCTGGAGAAGGAGCTGAGAGTTCTACATTTGGGTCTGCAGGCAGCAGGAAGAGAAACTGGGAAACTGGCTTGAGCATCCGAGACCTCAAAGCCCACCCCCAGTGACACACTTCTGCCAGCAATGCCACACCTACTCCCACAAGGCCACACCTTGTAAGAGTCTCGCTCCCTGAGTCTATAGAGGTCATTTTCTTTCAGACCTCCACAGTGGCCCATTGTTGGCCATCACAATACCTTACACCTTCAGCCCTCCAACAGAAGAATGGAGCTGCCCTTTTCTTTGCTCTGTAGAATGCCTGCCTCTGTGAGTGTCTGGCTGTGCGAGTGTGTTACGGCTAAGAAGGTGCCATTTTATGCTGGGCATTCTTCTTGGTACCCACCAGCTGCTTGTCTCTGACTCCAGTCCCTGGAAGATAAGTTCCTCAGTAACTCTGATCAGAGACCCCCATGTACAGCCATGACTATCTACTTGTTATGATCTGACTGCCTTTTTTGTTTCTGTAACTTGCTTACACAGATACCCAAGGATTGTTTTGAGTTTCCTTAATCACTTGACTTGGCAGAACAGGGCAGTTTTTGCTTGATTGCATAGTTGTTGAGGGTCTTCTTTTGGCTTTCCCTTTAAAAGTTCTTTCCTATACCTTCCTTCACAGCAATCTCGAATGTGTCTCCCAGACTGTTCATTCTGATAACAGCTAATCAATACAACTTTTAATTATGATTGGATTGAGTCTATGATCTTTTCCCAGGGAGTCACAAAAGTAGCACAAGTGTAGTACTTTTAATAAAATTTGTAAATTGTTGTTGCCTGCTGTGTTTGAGATTCTTCCCTCCTGCTACCTGGGGTGCCGGAGGTTTCTACTGTCTCAGTTCTTTAATTGGCAGAGGAGGCGAACCTGCTCCAAACCCTACTTCGCCTCCAAACCCTAGGACCGGATCGTATAGCCTTCTGTACAAGGCTAAGCGCAAATGTTCAACTGGCCATCTTAGGGCACACAGGAAGCCCTACCTTAAGATACTATTCATCCCGAAAATTGCAGACAATAAACCAGTTCCACAATTGTCTAATTGGAGCAAGCTTTAGTTTAGAGGGGCACCGGGGGACTGGCCAGCAGGCTGTCTCACCCTGATCTGGGATTTTAGAGAGCAGACCCTTCTGGCCTCTTGAGGTCCCTTTTACGAGGGAGAGATAAGAACTGGCGTTAGAGATTGCTAGAGAAATACAATGAAAGAGGAAGACATCGTGTAAATGGCGTCATTATGTTTTGCAGGTTACATCAGATTTAAGGAACAAACTTATTCTTTTTGTTTGTTTGTTTCGAGATAGGGTTTCTTTGTATCTTTGGAGTCTGTGCTAGAACTAGCTTTTGTAGACCAGGTTGGCCTCGAACTCACAGAGATCCGCCTACCTCTGCCTCCCGAGTGCTGGGATTAAAGGCGTGTGCCACCACTGCAAGGCACAAAAATATTTTCTATTTAAGAATAAGTTTGTTGTCGGGCACTTGGGAGCAGGTTCCAAAGCTACAGAGAAAACCTGTCTCAAAAAGCCAAAAAAAAGGGGGGAGGGGGAAGGAAAGGATTTTTGTAAAAAAGTATGGAAGTTTAATGCAGTGGGCTTCTTCATTTACAAGGTATGTTGTTCCTGTTTTGGTCTCACATTATCTACCACCAAGAAACTGTCATTTTTGTTGTTTGCTTTTGAGACATGGTTTACTCTGTAGCTTTTGAACTCGCTCTTGTAGACCAGGCTGACCTCGAACTCACAGAGATCCCCCTGCCTCAGCCTCTTGAGTGCTGGGATTAAAGGAGTGCGCCGCCGCCGCCACCACCACCACCAAAATGTCATTCTTAAATGCTGGGAATGAAGTTAGTGGTCTAGTTTTTTGGTTTTTTTTTTTTTTTTTTTTTTTTTTTGGTTTTTCGAGACAGGGTTTCTCTGTGGTTTTGGAGCCTGTCCTGGAACTAGCTCTTGTAGACCAGGCTGGTCTCGAATTCACAGAGAACCGCCTGCCTCTGCCTCCCGAGTGCTGGGATTAAAGGCGTGCGCCACCACGGCCCGGAGTAGTGGTCTAGTTTTATCAACCCATGGATTGGTACCCCTCTCTGTCACTCAGGGTCTGAGCCGGTGAGAACTGAAGCTTTGTCCAATCGAAGGCGCCGGGGTGAGAAACGTGCAATCAGGCGAAGAGACCGAGAGTAGGGGGCGGGCTTTTGCGGTCTTGCTGGGGCCTTTGTCCCTGACACGCCGTCGGACCACCATCTTGGGATCTGGAGCCGGCCTCCCAGGTTCCGGGGACTCTGTCGGTACCGGCACGGTTCTGCGCCGCGCAGCGAGGACGCGGGGTGTCCGGACTCCGCCATGGTGAGCGCGAGGTCCCCGCGGAGCTGGTGTCGGCGGCGGCAGAGTCCCCAAGCCCTAGCCCTCCGTCCCTCCGGCCGTGGGGTGGGGGCTGGGCGGGCTCCCGGCATCCTGGCGTCCTGTCGCATCCCTGGTCCCTGCGTAGGAACTCGAGTCCGGCTGCAGCGCTTTCCGCAGCTCTGGCCTGGCGGGGGTCGCGCGGGGGACAGGACTGTGGCAGGAGGCCCAGGGTTGCAGGCCCCCGTCTCTGGACGAAGGCCCCCGCGGGGTTTGGGGCTTGTGGCACTTCTCTGCAGACAGCTGATCTGAAAGGACTTTTGTCAGCTGGCTCCCTGGCCCCAGCCACTCGTTGCCCCAGGATTTTCCTGGACCTGCGTCGCTGTACGGCTCCACCCCGCTCCCTCTGCCCTGTGTGCCTCTTGCTTTAAGTCTTATTTCTGAATCTCGGGCCCGCTCTATAGGACTAGCTTTTCAACAGTACTGATTTTAGACGTGTGTCTCTTGATTTCTCACTACCGCTTCCCCTTGAGGCGTTTATTTTCTTGAGTCCAGTTCTCTAGAGCACGGACTGGAATTCGGATTCCCACATACCCATTGGGCACTATCGTATGGCTCTCTGTCTTGGAACCCAGGGGAGCATCCCAGGGAAGCACTCTGTCACGAGCCCAGCCCGCGTGTGACAGGAGTGTCTGATGAGGAGTCCAGCAGCCCAGGTGTCCAGGCTCTTCTCAGAGGCAAACAAAGAATTGAAGTAGGGTCTTTGAAGAAAATAACCATCTCTTGAAGCGGAAAACACCCTGGCAGGAAGGATGGGGTCTCCAGAGCAGGGAGACCTTGACGTGGTCTGAAGTAGTCATCTTGTTATCTTTTGGGGACCTGGGTTAATCCCATCTCCCTACATTCAGTCTCTAGCCCAGGCAGTCTTGATCAGGATGGAGATAACCAAGGGTAGAGACCCTGGTCAATGGATGGTATTGCTATACACACACACACACACACACACACGCACGCACGCACGCACGCACGCTCTCACGCACCTGCCTTAAGTGGGAAGTTCTATCTTCCCTGCTGGCCTGTCCCTATCATCCCTGACACCCAGTCTTCTCTCTCTCTGTCCCCCACGACTCCCACCCCTGCTCTCCCCGCCCCCCACCGCACCTTTTGAGGCAGGACTCCTCACACTGTAGCCAGTCTGGCACAGCTTATGATGGTCCTACCACAGCCTCACTTCCCTGTCCCCCTTTCTCTCCCCACCCCTTCCCTGTTCCTTGTTAGCATCTCTTATAAATCCTGAGTGTGAGGACCTGACTGGAAAAGGACTTTTGCTGGCTGAGCCTCTACCCAGGCAGATGGAGGGCGCTGGGATGTGGGCTTCCAGAGGTAGCTGTGTACAGAGGTGCCTGCCTTCCTTCATCTACATGTCCCCTTAGTGCCCTGTTAAGGAGAAAGAGGAGAGGGCTTTTAGATCCAGGCTCAACTCACCTTCACGTCAGACATGGTGGTGTAGGAGGCTGAGACCAGCTCAGGCTACAGAGTTCAGGGCCACCCTAAGCAATTTAAACCCTGTCCAGAGGGCCCTGGGTTCCAATCCCAGTCACCTCTCTGTGGGACTTCAGAGATGTCAGTACTCTCTTCTTGAAGACTGGGGTGCTGTCATCCCCTGACTCTCAGTGTCGTGGCCCACAAAGGCCCAAGTGAGGAACTGCTTTGGAGAGACCCATGCTGCTCAGAGCCCACAGGCCTGACAGGAGACCTGGGGCCTGAGGGAGGAGGTGAGGGTCTGCAGGAGAGTCAGGCAGAGGGACAGGGGTTAGGATGAGGTGACTGGTGGTCTGACCGTGTAGGTCAGTTATGAGGGAGGAGAGAAGTTTGCGGAGATTTGAAGAGTGAAGGCGTGACCAGATAGAAAGGAGGAAAATCAAGGGGACATGGGAAGAGCAAGGAAGCCCCTCCTCTGCAGAACCCCTCCCTCTGGAGAACCTCTGACCTAGAGAACTCCTCACTCTGGGGAGCCCCTCCCTCTGAAGAACACCCTTTTCTGGAGGACCACCCCCACTCTACGGAACCTCTCCACTCTGGAGAACCCCTCTCTCTGGAGAGTCCCACACTCTAGAGGAACTCCCCCACTATAGAGAACCCCCCTCTGGAGAACCCCCTCTGCAGTCTGATGGAAGGAACTCTTATTAGCTGAGGGTCAAGTAAAATGTTTGCTGTGAAGTCACCAGCATAGATTGTTACTTCTATATAGCAATATCTCCATTAAGAATATTAACATTGCTGGCGGTGGTGGCGCACGCCTTTTATCCCAGCACTTGGGAGGCAGAGGCAGGCAGATGTCTATGAGTTCGAGGCCAGACTGGTCAACAAGTGCTAGTTCCAGGACAGGCTCCAAAGCTACAAAGAAACCCTGTCCCCCCCACAAAAAAAGAAAGCAAAGATATTAATATTTTTGATCTGGAGAGATGATTTAGCGGTTAAGAGCACTGGCTGCTCTTCAGAGGACCAGAGTTCAATTCCCAGCGCTCACATGCCAGTTCACAACCGTCTGTAACTGCAGTTCCAGGGGATTGGACACCCTCACACGGACATACACGTAGGCAAAACCCCAATGCATGCAAAATATAAATAAATGAATCATGAAAGAATATTGAAATTTTAATGAAACAGTCTCAAAGCTGGAGCCTCTAAGACATTGACTCTTTTGCAGATGTAAACTTGAATTCTGGGACATCCCTGCGACACTATTTCGAGAAGGCCCAAGACACTTTACTCCCTGTAGGCCGGAAACGGTGAGTGTGTGGTCTAGCTTCCAGAACCAGGGGAAGGAAATCTGTAGCCTACATAATCAGACTGGTGTAGGTCCCCATCATCCATGCAGCTTGACTGTGGGGTCCTCTCCCCCAGAGTCTCTTGATCCCCAACACTTGGAGCCTTCATATTTGATTTCTGTAAGCTGCAATTTGATGCTTTTGTGTCTTTGCTCGTGATATCAGGTTCCATTCTGTCTCCCAGAACTAAGTCTGTTTTTGCCCTGAGCTCCATCTATGGGCTCTGGTGAATTTAGGCAGCCAGCACCAGGCCCTGGTCTGCTGGAGACAACTCACTCTGGCCTGCACAGGCCGTCAGTGGGTTCCTAGGACCGCCAGTGTGTTTGAGCTGCCAGACAATGGCCCAGGAAGATGTTAGTCCTGCCAGTAACATCAGTGGAAGTGGACTGTGGCTGTTTGCAGGGGATGTTTGTGGATTCGCAGATTTGTGCTGAAGGCGGTGATGATGTTGGCCTTGGTATAAGGGCCCCTTGTCTCTGCTGCTTCTGAGTACCGGGCATGTGCGGAAGCTGGAAACTGCAGCCATAGTGGAGTGGCTTAGGAAGCTGAACCTAGAGGACTTTTGTAAGCCTGGGCAGTGATGGCCACCTGTGCACCCTGCCCAGGAGGCTAAGCTAGTGCTGTTTGCCCTACCCTCCTACCCCAGACAGCCTGTGCAGGTCTGGGCGGTGCATCTCTGGTTTTGTGGCTCCGGCTGACCAGCTTTGAACGCTTGTGACTGTCTTTCTCTTTCCAGATCCAGGCCCATGGTGCCACTCTGCCTTGTTCTTGTTGTCACTGACCCATCTTTCCCTCGTGTCCCTTGGTCTCTCAACACATCTTTCCCCTGAGGCCTTTCCCTTCAGGCCCTAGGGTTGCTTAGGTATAGGCAGGAATAAGGATTCCCACTTCCTGACTTGTTGATCTTAACATCCCCCTCTTTCCCCCATTTCTCCCTCCCTCCTTCCTTTCCTCCCTCCCTCCCTCCGTCCCTCCCTCCCCCCCTCTCTCTCTGTATATGTCTGTCTGTCTGTCTGTTTGTCTGTAACTCGGAATTGAACCTAGACATTTCAACACGCTTGACAAGCTCTGTCACCCAGCCACGTCCCCATGGGATCCTTGGTTTGTCTTTAGACAAGCTCCTGGTCTGTAGCCCAGGCTAGTCTTGAATTCAGAATTATCCTGCCTTGGACTCCCAACTAGGATTGCAGGGCTGCTCCATGAGGTCTGGGCCCATGTCCTTCGCAGCAGTGAAGAGAAGACCCCCCCACCCCCACCCCATTCAGTGACTGGCACTTGGCAGGATCCTTGAGCAAAAATGTACCTTTTTGCTTCCCAGGTTCTACCTTGGCCTCCAGCAGCAGGCCTTGAGGTTGGGGTTTCTCAAATGCTCGAAATGTGTCTTTATTTGTGGTGTTCGTGCACCCAGCCCAAGGCATTAAAGATGATGCTTGTGGAATCCAGATGTAAATGGCTATAGGGACAGGTACAGATGTGATAGGGGACTCGGGGACAGGTACAGATGTGGTGAGAGGGGACTCGGGGACAGGTACAGATGTGGTGAGAGGGGACTCGGGGACAGGTACAGATGTGGTGAGAGGGGACTCGGGGACAGGTACAGATGTGGTGAGAGGGGACTCGGGGACAGGTACAGATGTGAGAGGGGACTCGGGGACAGGTACAGATGTGAGAGAGGACTGGGGACAGGTACAGATGTGAGAGGGGACTCAGGGACAGGTACAGATGTGAGAGGGGACTGGGGACAGGTACAGATGTGAGAGGGGACTGGGGACAGGTACAGATGTGAGAGAGGACTGGGGACAGGTACAGATGTGAGAGGGGACTCAGGGACAGGTACAGATGTGAGAGGGGACTCGGGGACACAGATGTGATAGGGGACTCGGGGACAGGTACCGATGTGATAGGGGACTCGGGGACAGGTACAGATGTGAGAGGGGACTGGGGACAGGTACAGATGAGAGGGGACTGGGGACAGGTACAGATGTGAGAGGGGACTTGGGGACAGGTACAGATGTGGTGAGAGGGGACTCGGGGACAGGTACAGATGTGGTGAGAGGGGACTCGGGGACAGGTACAGATGTGGTGAGAGGGGACTCGGGGACAGGTACAGATGTGGTGAGAGGGGACTCGGGGACAGGTACAGATGTGGTGAGAGGGGACTCGGGGACAGGTACAGATGTGGTGAGAGGGGACTCGGGGACAGGTACAGATGTGGTGAGAGGGGACTCGGGGACAGGTACAGATGTGGTGAGAGGGGACAGACACAGCAAGAAGCAGACAGGCAGAGACCACTATTAGGCCTTGTGTGCTCTAACTCCTTCCTCCCCTCCCTCCTTCTTTGCTGAGAGGTGCAAGCCTTTGGATGGGGGTGGGGACAGTGGGGCGGGACTGGGGACAATGGGGCGGGGCATGGTGAGGTGATGCTCATGCTTGTGATGGGAGGCAAAGTAGAGTGTATTTGTCTCTGCCCCGAGGGGTGCCGACAGGCCCCAACTTTCAGCATTTTCCTAGGGTTGGTAACTGATAAGAGTCAAAAGTGAGGGGGCTGGAGAGATGGCTCAGCGGTTAAGAGCACGTACTGCTCTTCCAAAGGTCCTGAGTTCAATTCCCAGCAACCACATGGTGGCTCACAACCATCTGTAACGAGATCTGGCGCCCTCTTCTGGCTTGCGGGCATACATGGAGGCAGAATGTTGTATACATAATAAATAAATCTTTAAAAAAAAAAAAAGTCAAAAGTGATAGGCATAAAGGACTGGTTTTCCCTCTTTGGACCTTGAGCTTCAGAAGTTTCCACCCACCAATAGGGACAGTCCTTGGATGGGCTGTAGAAACTTACCAAAGAAGACTGGAAAGTCCTGCCTGGTGTCTAATCTCTTCCCCGTGCAAGCTGCAGGGCTGTTTTTCCTGTTTCTAGAGGAAGGAGCAGGGGATGTTACTGCTCCAGGTCCCCATGGGGGTGGAGGCCAGTCAGAAGACGGGGACCTGAGGAGGTTCTCTGTGTACTGGACGTCCTCTAGTTGAGAGGGCAGTGGGACTCAGACACCACATTTCCTTCTGCCTCAGTTTGGCTCTGTGTGGAAGTTTTACCAACTGCCCATCATCTTTGTGAGTTCCAGGCCGCTAAAGATCCCCAGCTGTCAAATCGGGAAACCAGGTTCACTCAGCAGCCACGCTTTCTTTTCACGTCTTGCTGGTTTTAAGACAAGGCTTATCCAGGCTCACCATATAGACCCAGCTGGCTTTAAATACACTTTGATCCTCCTGCTTCTGCCCTGATTGTTGGGGCTCCAGCTTTGACTACCCCTTGCTTCTGTCTTATAAATTCTGATGCTGTATTGTAGCTGCGTTACCCATGTTGGTTGCTTTCCCTCCGGGTTCCTGCACTGTGACTTTAAGAGTTGAAGACAATAACAGGTCCTTACAGGGTCACTGAACAGATTTAATTTAACACATGTGCAGATTGAATGAATAAGGGGGTGGGGGGAGGATGGCTCAGTCAGTAAAATGCATGCCATGCAACAAGAGGACCTGGCATGCTAGCGTGCTGTAACCGCAGTACTAGGGGAACAGAGGCAAGCGGATCACAGTCTGACTGAGAGAGGCACCCTGTCTCAGAAACACAGCAGAAAGTTAACAGAGGGAGTCACAACCTCGACTTCTCAGGCACACATATGTCTACACATGTGCCGTGTGCACCCACACATGGGGAGAGAGAACAAGAAGATAAAAGAATGAATGATTTTGTCTCTACCTTTTGTTTGTTCTTATTTTTTTGGTAGTGTTTGTTTTATTTGGGTAATGTTTGATTTTTGTTTGTTTTGAGATAGGAACCCATTATATAGCTCACACCGGGTTGGGATTCACTGTATAGTCCATTATGGCTTCAAACTCATGGAACCTCTACCTCAGCCTCCGAAGTGCTGATAGGCGCGCACACTATTCCTACCTACACCACTTGTCTTACCCTTATCCACTCAGCCCATGGCTTCTCGTAACCCTTTAAGCACACAGAGACAGGGTGGGTCTCCCCCGAGTCCCACTCAGAATTGACCACATAATCCGCCCCCCTCTGCACCTTGTGAAGAAAGTTCAGCTGAAGTTTACACTCAGAGCTATTTCCCAGCCAGGGACTGGGAGGAGATGGGGCTTAAACCGGCCATCTATGGCTCCAATGTTCTGGTTTCAGCAGGCCCTGACTACAAATTGGCTCTGATTTTCAGCCTTTGGTCCCAGGAGGGCATGGCTTGATGAGGAAAATGGAGCATGGGGGACTGAAGCTGTGCCTTGCGAGGGTGTCTGCAGGGGCCTGACGACACAGCCACTCCCTCTGCATCTTGGCTTTGCTGCCTCCAGGAGAAGGAAGGGCTGGAGAGAGATCCCCAGCGCAGTAGTTGGGGGTGCAGCTCTATTTATTCACAGAAGAAGCAGGAGCAGTGGATTCTCCCGACCCCCAGTGCTTGGCTTCCCCTTTCTCCTGGGCTGTGTCTGTACAGGAAGGTTTAGACATCAGGTTCCTCCCTTTGCCACCTGGGCACCTGACGCCCTGTGTTCCTCCCCTGACTACAATGGCCAGTGTAGATATGGTACTGTGTGGTCGCTGGCATCTGCCTTCAATGGGGAGGTTTGAGGGCAGGTCTCAGAAAATTGGATGTAGGACCTAAGAACACAGAGGTCCCCACGAGAGGATGAAAGACAGCTGGGGGACCATGGTACTCATCTGTAAGTGGGGTACCATCAAATCGTTTAGGTTGTGCAGGCATGGTGGTGTTTGCCTAAATTCTGACACTTGACACACTGAGGCAGGAGAACTGGGAATTTGAGGCTAGCTTAGTCTATATAGTGAGACTTCATCACCAACAGGGGTGGTGTTTGTATTTGAATTCCAATGTGATTCTAGGCAGACAATTTTTCTAGGTACAGTTTTCTCACCTATGCAGTGGATCTAGGCAATGCGGCAGGGAATGGAGCCAGGCTGGTCACCTCACTACAGCCAGAAGCAGGGCCGCATCTCAGCAGCCCCCTAGGACTTCTAATAATCTGTTCTGACCTGCTTACACCGTTTTGGTGTTTATCCTGTGGATCTGGTGTCTCACACATGTGAGATTTTATACTGTTAATTTTTCAACACTAGCGTGCATCACATGATCATAATTTATGTTTTCAAAGACAGTGTCCCATGAAGCCTGGGCTAGTTTTGAACTTGTCATATAGACAAACTTCTGATCTTCCTGCATCTACCTCCTGAGTGCTGAGATCATGGGTGTGCACCCCTGGCTCCTGTTTGTGTAGTGTCTTGGTGTTCTATTGCTGTGAAGAGACACAGTGACCACGGCAACTCCTATAAAGGAAAACTTTTAACTGGGACAGGCTTACAGGTTCAGAGTTTTAATCCATTGTTAACATGGTGGGGACCTTGGTGGTGCACATAGGCAGACATGGTGCCGGAGGAGTAGCTGAGAATTCTACATCTGGATCAGCAGGCAGCAGAGAGAGAGAGAGAGACACTGGGCCTGGCTTGAGCTTTTGTAACCTCAAAAGCCAGTGGCACACTCTTCCTCCATCAAGGCCACACCTGCTTCAACAATGCCATACCTCCTACCTGTGGGACCATGTTCATTCAAACCACCACAAGTAGTTTGCAATCTTTATGTGCTGTTCCTCTTGATTATTTTGTTGAAAAAGTTTAATGATAGCCTTTTTACCAGGTACGCATTTATTGGGGAGATGGTGTGTGTGCTGTGGTGAATATGTTGTTGTCAGAAGACAACTTGAAGGACTTGGTTCCCTCCATCATGTAGGTCCTGGGGATTCAACTCAGGTCATCAGACTTGGTGGCAAATACCTTTCTCCCCTGAGCCATCTCACCAGCCCTTGTTAACAAATTTTTTCATGTACGTTCTCAATGGTACTGGATCTGTGGTTTGACTACAGACAGTTGTGTCCATGACTAATTTTATTTATTTATTTATTTATTTATTTATTTATTTGAAATAAGGTCTTACTCTGAAGAATAGGCTGGCTTGGACCTTTGATGCCCACCTTGACCTTGATCTTGCAGTCCCTTGCCTCAGCCTCCAGAGGGCTGGGGTTACTGTCATGGGCCACTATACCCCCGAGTGTGTACCCTCATCACCACCCCAAGGTCTTAGGCTCTGTATCTGTGTCTTCCTCCCTCTCCAGGATTTTGCTGGGTATCCCAGCTTGGCCTCAAACACATGATGAAGGTTACTGAATGTAGGCATTACAAACAAGATGCCCCACTCTGGGCTGGAGACAGGATTTCATTCTTTGTCCCGACTGGCCCCAAACTCAGTTTTCTGCACCAGCCTCTCAGGTAGCTTGAAACATGTACACATCTCAGCATTCAGCTAAGCCTCTCTTAACAGTCAGTGGCTGCCTGGACACCCTATCTCCTCTGTGGCTATGGTGCGGCCATCCTGAAGCACAGGAGAAGCACGCTGCTTTCCAGGTCAGAACTGTTTTCTTTCTAAGAACTAGCGTATAATTCCTGTGCCATTTTGGAGCCTTCATTTCTCTCTGTTTCTTTGTCTTTTAAAACTCTATTGTAGCCCAAGGTAGCTTTAAACTTACTTTATATAGTTTTAAAAGCATTATGCAAGCCAGGTGGTGGTGGCTCACCCCTTTAGTCCCAGCACTTGGGAGGCAGAGGCAGGTGGATCTCTGAGTTCGAGGCCAGCCTGGTCTACAGAGTGAATTCCAAGACAGCCAGGGCTACACAGAGAGAACCCTGTCTCAAACTCCCCTTCCCCAAGAAAAAAAGCATTGTAATACTGGTAGTATGGTTATAGCTGGGAAGTCGGCAGGGCCTTTTATAAGGGATTTAGGCGTACCTCTTCAAGACTGTACAATTCTCTAGAAAAGAAGTTTGTTAGTTTCAATGTCCCTGATTGAATTGTTAGATCTACTGAGGATCCTTGAGTTTCTTGAGTCTCTCTGTGTATATCTCTCCTATGAAGATAAAATTCTCTTGCTGAAACTGTATTTTCATGTGCTTTCTCTTCTGGAACATAACACTAGTGTGTGCTTCCTTAATGTCCATTAGTATATATCAAAAGGTCAGTTATTCCTTAAGTGTTTCTCATTTCTTCACCTGCTTCAATTATTTAAAGATGAAATCATTGTGCTTTGGATTTTTTCTCTGCCTTATCAATTCAGCTGTAGAGTCTTTGCTTTTTACTCTTTTTCTTCTTTGTCTTTGTTTGTTACTTTGGAGGTTGTCTTTCCTTTTTTACATTTCTTTCTTTTGAGGCGGGTCTATGTAGTCCCTGTCGGCCTAGAACTTGCTGTGTAGTCCAAGCTGGCCTTGAACTCACAGAGATCTGCCAGCCTTTTCCTCCCCGGTGCTGGGATTAACGGCCTCTGTCCCTGTGCCTGGCTCTGTTTTTCCACTTTTTTTATTTTTTGAATTGAACTCAGAGTTTCTGACCGGTTCTTTTTATCTCTTTTCTGAGTTCCCTGTGCTCTAACGGAGTTTTTCCAGTGGTTGTATTTTCTCTTTATTATCTTCTGTTACCTTAAATAGTCTCCAGATCTTTATTTTGGGTTGTTTATCATGCAGCTTACTGCCACTTGAAGGTAGCAGTCCGGTCGGTGAACAGGGAGAGAGTGTTTCTGATTCACTTGAGGGCCGCACTCCCGTCGGGGAACAGGGAGAGAGTGTTTCTGATTCACTTGAGGGCCACACTCCCGTAGGGGAACAGGGAGAGAGTGTTTCTGATTCACTTGAGGGCCACACTCCCGTCGGGGAACAGGGAAAGAGTGTTTCTGATTCACTTGAGGGCCACACTCCCGTCGGGGAACAGGGAGAGAGTGTTTCTGATTCACTTGAGGGCCACACTCCCGTCGGGGAACAGGGAGAGAGTGTTTCTGATTCACTTGAGGGCCACACTCCCGTCGGGGAACAGGGAGAGAGTGTTTCTGATTCACTTGAGGGCCACACTCCCGTCGGGGAACAGGGAAAGAGTGTTTCTGATTCACTTGAGGGCAGCAGTCCTGTCGGGGAACAGGGAGAGAGTCTCTGATTCACTGGTCACAGTGCGGTCTTTGCAGTGGAGCCGTCGTCATTCGTGAGTGGTCCTCACTTGGAACGTTACAAAGCTGATGTGTTGTTTCCCATTTGCAGGACACCGCATGACCGGAGCAGAGTTCATCTTTAAGTGGGCGCTGAGATTCAGGCCATGGACCGTAGCAGAAGGCTCAGTTCGATGCCTCCCAGGTCAGTCAGTGCATATGGCAGAAGGGTGTCAACAAGGAGAGCACATCATGTACTGGTTGTGTTGAGCTGATTTTATACCCAAATGGTTCCTGTAGATAGTTAGTCCTGTGAGTCAGACATGTGTTTTCTGCAGTTCCTGAAGAGGGTTCTCCTATTAACACAGTCCCCAGTTTCTGCTTCGAAGTATATTTTCTTAGATTTGTTAAAATTTCAATCCTATATAGTACTTAGATCCAGTGGTTCTCAACCTATGGGTTGCGCCCCCTCTGGGGGTTGAATGACCCTTTCATAAGGGTTGCCTAAGACTATTGGAAAACACAGATACTTACAGAATGATTCATAACAGTAACAAAATTACAGGTGTGAAGTAACAATTAAACTAATCTTATGGTTGGGGTCACCACAACATGAAGAACTGTATTAAAGACTCTCAGCATTGGGAAGGTTGAGAACCTCTGACTTAGATGTTTTTATTGCTTAGTCCCTGGACCTAAATTCTCGCTTCCATTCTTTTTAAAGTTAAGCAGTTGCTAACATCGGTTTTCAACACTTGCTATGGTCCTGTTTATTCTTTATAGCTGTGGTGGTGATGCCAATAGTAATCACACAGACAACTCTGTGTAACAGCCCTGGCAGTCCTGCCTGGAACTCGCTTTGTGCACCTGGCTGGTCTGGAACTCACAGAGATCCGCTTGCCTCTGTCTCTGGAGTGCTGGGATTAAAGGTGTTATCTTACATTCATTGTAAGAAGAAAAGTGAACCAAAGATAGGAAGATTATGGTGACGTAGAGCTCAGACAGTGTTTCCTGGGAGGAGAAAAAAAGTAGGTGTGAGGTTTTAGGAAGAGTGTAAAAGCTGAACTCAATGTTAAGGAGTTATTTGTTTATTTTAGTTCAAGTTGGATTTAACTGATTTCCAAATTTGGCACATCATGCTTGATCTTGGGTGGTGGTATTTTTAATATCATTTTCTGTGTTCATAAAGTGAATGCCAGGGTTTAGACCAGCCATGAAACTCAAGAGAAAGACTTGTGGCAAATAGGAATCGAAAAAGCAGTACATCAAAGCAGTACATCAAATGAAGACTGTTGATTTAGGTAAAACATTTATTGTGAGCACTCAAACCACATTTCAGGTCCGAACATAAAGGATGAAAAGTCTTCAGCAATGTGGGACTGCACCGTAGTGAGCCTGGTGAACTGTGGATGGGAAAAGAGCCGCTGCTCTCTTTTTAAAGAGTTAGAATAAAATGTAGATTGTAAGCATTCAGCTGAAGACAAAAGGACTTGGGCAGAAAGCAAGACAGCTGAGAACGTGCGTGCTGGCTTTTTGTGTCGCCAAACCCAGCACTTTTATAACTGAGGAAGCCCTCTGATGTGCTGACCGTCTTGGTGTCTATAAGAAGATCCAAGAGTCACACTGTTATACTCCATATATTTGATGAGGGATATCCTTCAAAATCAGTGTAATCTTACTGACACATCAAGAGGTTTCATATTCAAGATGCCTCTAGGAGATTCATCAATGCTAGAAGTTCCCTTTTAAGGCAGCATTTAATGCCTAATGTGGCGCGCGCCATGGCGCCGTCATGTCGTGGGTGTGTTGGCACGGAGCCTGGGCGCCATTTGCTGTTCCATGTTAAACTTGGTAAACAACTTGTGCGCATGCGCGCATGCTCCCCTAGCACGGGGAGTCTTTCGATCTGGCCATTCGATCCGGCCAATCATAATTTAGCACGATCACTCCATTCTGGCCTGAGCCATTGGGTTGATGACACGTCAGGGCTTTGTCTGGCACCGTATATATTCTTCTGCTTCCGCGGGGATGGGGTCTTTTTGCCTCTCTCAATTCTCAAGTGTAAGCGCTCCAATAAAGTGTGTTCTGAGAAGAATCCTGTTGTGGTCGTCTCTTCTGCTGGCGGAATCGGCTTGCCGCAAGTGGTGCCGAAACCCGGAAGTGGAAGTGGAAGCGGGAGGATTCAGAACTCAGATGCTTGGAGCAGGTGGTGCCCTCCGGCCAGGAACAACCGGTTTGGGTCCCGGCAAGACTGACGAGAGAGCTGAAACGGATACAGGACAATGAGGACGACCCTCGTGGTGCTGATTCTCCTCCTGTGGATGCCAATGATAAAGATGAAAATGACGCAACTGTGGGCAGTAACCAGGGCACGGCCAATACCTATGCCTGTTCACGCTAATTCCTCTATTATTCCCACCTTGTTTTCCACCTCATGCGATATGAAAGCCCCTTGTATGGTCCCAAGAGATGATAAGATAGAACGGTTTAATTTAACTAAAGTTGTGCTTAATGGGACCTTTTGTTTTTCCTTAGAACATAAAACCCCATGCATTCTGTTAAAACAAAAGAATTTGATTAATTGGATGGATCCCTTGCTTTATAGTCAGGTGAATATAGGCATATTGGCATCAGCTTTAAATCAGATTGTTCAGGGTGCTCAATCAGGCGGTGGTACATCCAGTAATGCGACTTCAGTTAACGTTACCACCTTGATTATGAATACCACATTGTTGGTGCCTATGAAAGATCCCTCTCTTAGAGAGTATAATAGCACTGAATTTAAAGCATCCCCACATTGTCCCAGATTTTTCTTTCCCTCCCACCTATACTGCCTGTCAAGGCAGGACATGGGAGGAGTTGCAGATTTCACAGGGATTCTCCCTTTCTCCGTCTATGAAGAGATACTTTTTTTTTTTTTTTTTTTTTTTTTTTTTTGGTTTTTCGAGACAGGGTTTCTCTGTGGTTTTGGAGCCTGTCCTGGAACTAGCTCTGTAGACCAGGCTGGTCTTGAACTCACAGAGATCCGCCTCCCTCTGCCTCCCGAGTGCTGGGATTAAAGGCGTGCGCCACCATCGCCCGGCTGAAGAGATACTTTTATAATCAATCAAATGAAAATTCTACGATAGGGGATGGGTGGTCCTGGTATCAATGGTTGGTTTCCAATGAGGCAGGAGCAACAGCAGACATTTCCGCCTTAGCCCAAATACAAAAGCTCACCACCCGGCTGATTAATGTTTCTGGTATAGTTTCCGAAACATCCCTTGGTAGGCGACTTCGTGTACTTCAGGAGGAGGAGCTGGCCAATACTACCTTGGCGGCAGCACCAGTGTGTGTGCCTTCTCCTTTTGTGTTTCTGCTAACTAATATTACTAATGCTACCCAAGAGGTAGATTGCAGGAGTACCGATTGCTTTCTAGCTCAATGCTGGAATGCTTCATGGAACATTGTAGTGGTTATGAAGATACCAACATTCATGCCAATTCCTGTTAAAACGGATCCTGATGCGTTCCCACTTGTTACTCTTCTACGAGAACGAAGGGATTTTGGACTCACCGCCGCTATAGTAACAGCGATAGCGGTGTCAGCGGCTGCCGCGGTTACCGCAGCAGTGGCTATGGCCAATCAAGTACAAACTGCAGATACCATTAATAATGTGGTTGCAGAGGCCGCTACAGTGCTGGATACTCAAAGTAAAATAAATAGACACATGCTGTCAGGCATAGTGGCAGCTAATCAAAGAATTGATTTTTTACAAAGTCAAATTGATGATTTGGCTGATCTGGTTCAAATGGGTTGCATTTCGTACCAAAAGCATGTATGCATAACCCCACTTTCCTTTAATAATTCCAGAAACGAATCAAAGATCCTAGGCGAATTCCTTGCCGGCACCTGGTCCAAAGAAGCGGGGAACCTGATCCAGGACCAGCTGTTGCAGATTGCTACCTTGAATGATACTCGTGTACAGCCCATGACCCTTGGACAATTTACTGATTGGCTGCAATCCGCTTTTTCTTTAAGGAGTGGGTGGGGGTTGGCATGTTCGGTGCCATATGTTGCCTCGGCGTGTTTTTCTGCCTTTGGCTTCTGCGCCGATTTCGTGCACGGCAAGCTTGGGACAAAGCAATTATAGTCCAGACCCTTGCCGCCCTCGAACATGGCACCTCCCCTCAGGTCAGGCTGTCTAGCCTCAAGCATGACCTATAACTGGATGTGGCCTCCGCACCCCAAGTCATTAAAGACATTGCACTGGGACAGGCACACCCTATTCTCTCTGTCTTTTAAAACGTGCTGGTAGTCCTTGCACCTCATAGGCCTTGCTGCCATTGCACATGAGAGGATACACAGCATGACGTGCACAGCGCACCCTAACCCTTGATCGTTGGGGACATCATGAGGTCTCGAACTGGATCGGGTTCCTGCTTTAAAATACAAAGGGGGGAGATGTGGCGCGCGCCAAGGCGCCGTCATGTCGTGGGTGTGTTGGCACAGAGCCTGGGCGCCATTTGCTGTTCCATGTTAAACTTGGTAAACAACTTGTGCACATGTGCGCATGTTCCCCTAGCGCGGGGAGTCTTTCGATCTGGCCATTCGATCTGGCCAATCATAATTTAGCACGATCACTCCATTCTGGCCTGAGCCATTGGGTTGATGACACGTCAGGGCTTTGTCTAGCACCGTATATATTCTTCTGCTTCCACTGGGACGGGGTCTTCTTGCCTCTCTCAATTCTCAAGTGTAAGCGCTCCAATAAAGTGTGTTCTGAGAAGAATCCTGTTGTGGTCGTCTCTTCTGCTGGCGGAAGCGGCTTGCCGCAGCCTAAAATGTGAAAAACATAAGGAAGCAAACCATTTAATGGGTGTGGGATAATGTTCTATTACAGATGGAACTGAGAAAATGGTAGGTACACACGAGAAAAGTAGTGTAAATATAGTTATCCGAGAAATCTTTTGTTAAGTAGCTATACTTCAGAAAACATTGGGATATATGTGCTAGGGAAAGGCCCCATGAGTAAAGGGTTGGGAAAATATTTTTCAATCAAACGGACCTAAGAAATAAGCAGATGTAGCTATCCTAACATCTAACAAAATAGACTTCAAACTAAAATTAATCAAAAGAGACAAAGAAAGATATTTCATATTAGTCTCAGGAAAAATCCATCAAGAGGAAATCTCAATACTGAACATCTATGCCCCAAATACAAGG